CTCTTCCCGCGCTTGGGGCCGGAAGACATCGAACGCACCGTGGACATATACACCAACATCGGACTACCAACAGTGACGGACCAAGCTGCTGCGGTTATAGGTGACAGTAAGTCCTGAGGTTGTGCTTTACCGACCCTTCACTAATACTTCATAGACATATTCGTCTGCCCGGCTTATTATGCCTTGGAAGCTTTCGGTGTTCGGGGATATAAGGCATGTTCGGGCTTCGACCTTGTCATACATTGGTCTCATACTGTCATAGTCAGCGTTTGCCATCCCACCCGGCACGCACGCGCAAGACCTCTCCTACGTCTTCACGAAGTATGCATACACCAATCTCCCAACCCGTGTCGTCTGCTCACCATGTGCCGTGCCCAGCTTCGCCGTTCCTGCAACGTTCAACAACACCGACTTCCAACGCGCCTACGCGCAGGCCTTCCTCTCCACCGCCATGTTCCTCGACCCAAATGTCCACTTCGATCCGACCAACATCGCGCCATATTGGCCGGAGTGGGCGCAGAACCACACGGAGATGCTGTTCAACAAGACGGATGCAGATGCGCCTGCTGTTCAGACGTTCGCCACGGACGAGGGCCTGTTGAAGCGATGCGGGTAAGAGTGTTCGCGATATGTTCATGTGCACCTTGAGCTGATCCCGGTTTGTAGATGGTGGCGAAGCATTGGGGCTGTTACGGCACAGTAGACACCGCTCGCGCTGTTTCGGCGTAGTAACCCGAGGGCATTTCGAAGTTCGAAGGGCTCAGTACATTTCGAGTCCGTATATCGTGCGACGAATGTATCAGTTTGGGACTGCCCCACTCCTTCGTCCTATATTATTCAATGCGGATTTCAAGGATCCTCGACGCCTCGTGAAGGCTAGCGGGAGATGGCGAATCTGGCGTGCGACAAACACGACTCTTGCTGTGGCTTCGGTTGGTTCAAACCTCAGTGTTTGAAGTCCAATGACAGGCTTCACACAAACAACGGACAGCCGTAATAAGTATCAATAAGGTGCAGCAGATTGCCTGCCGTTCTCCACAAGAGTTATACTTAACATTCCTGTCACTCGTGAGCCGCATGGCCCATCTCCCTAGCCAAGTCTAGCCAAAGCTCGTGCGAACCTCCTTTCGATCGAACACACCAGTAATTGACTAACTCAGTATGATATGATTGTTTGTCTCGTATCCATACTGTTCATTCAATCCCCACAGAAACTTGCTTTGGCTCTCTCCGGCTATACAGCAAGCATTGTTCTTTTGTCCATGAGACGAAATGATGTAGGATGGATCCAACGTTACGGGGTCGGCAGGAAGAGGACCTTGGACTTGAAGCACTGCACTGTCGTCCGGTGCGCACCCAGTAACATTATTAGACGCGTTTCTAGGGAAGAGGTACAGCAAGGCGTGGTATGCATGTGTAAGTGTATATATATGTGTGCGCAAGACGACGAAATAAAAAGGAACGAAAGAGAGTTAAAAAAGCAGACAATCCAAATCCAGAACTACACGCCCCACACGGAACCATTTCCATCGACACATGCCGCCACAATGTCCGCCCGCGCGCCCAATCATCCATCCATCCATCCATCCATCCATACACAATCACCACCCATTCCGCACCACACCCAACACCCGCCAAGACCCACGCACACCGCACCGAAGAAAAAGACCACCCCTTCGATCAGCCCCGGCGTCCTCTCGTGCACGCATCGACACGCACCTCCCAAAACAATGGCCGCAAACGTGCGTCTCCGAGCCGCTCGCCGCGCGGCGGGGTGTGGGCATACAAACAGCGTGACATCGCGCATGGATGTCCCTGGTTGAGGTGGGGCGCCGCGGCGGGAGGGCGAGAATGTATAAAGTGTGGTGTGGTGAGATGAGGTGGGGCGGGGTAGGCGGGCATGAATAAAGTTAGGTAGGGTGTTCCTCCAAGATGGGCGAGCGGGGCGTTCAAGAGCAATTTGAGGCGCAGGGAGAGATCACGGCGCCCAAACTTTCAGAGTCTATCCAGTAAACCGCGTCAGTCTTCCCTTCGCGCACAGCGCAAAAGATCATCGAACCTGGTCAGAACTTCCCGACGCGATGACGTTCATCAGCGTCGGCCCTGCGTCACCCTCGCCACCGCCCGCGAGCACCTGCCGTCCCCAGGTCATGCTCGACACGAAGCGCTCGTGCGCCTCGATCTTGCGGATGCAACGCCCAGTCTTGATCTCCCAGATCCGAATGGTGTGGTCGTCCGAGGACGAAAGGAGGTACTTCCCGTTCGGGTGGAAGACGAGCGAACGCACCCAGTCGTCGTGGCCGACCTGGGCTCAGGGAAATGTTAGTGGGTGCGGAAGATGCGGAGGGGAATGCGTACGAGGGTGTGCAGGCATTGGCCCCGGATTGCGTCCCAGATCTTGATGGTCTTGTCGCGCGAAGATGTCACGACGTGTGCTACGGCAATGGCCTCCGTTACTGCAGGCTGCGTCGTCCCCGTCTTTCGGGTAATGTCAGCGTATACATTCGGGCGTGGAAATACTGAACCGTACCTTTTGGCCGACCAGTTCACGGATGGCTGGGACGGCGACGCGGGGGACGAAGATTGCGGATTCGACGACGTTGTCGTGCCCCCGGAGTTCCGCTTTGGTTGTTCCTGTGGCGAGTTCCACCACGCGCGCTGTCTGGACAAGCCATGGCAGGGTTAAACGGGGTACAAGGCAAAGCGGTGAGAAACGTACATGGTCCATGGAGCAAGTCACAACGTATCGGCCGTCCAAGCTCGGGAGGGCGCATCGGACCCAATCGCTATGTGGGCGGATGACCTTGATGCAATGTCTACATATAAAAGTCAGCGATACTCCACAGAGAACGAAAGAAAGTACATACGTGGAAGCGATCTCCCAAATCCGAACGGACTGGTCCCGACTTGAGCTCACGACGCGGTCGTCGCCAGGAAGGAAACGTGCGGAGGAGACCGAGTGCTCGTGCCCGCGTAGCGTTGCGAAATTTTGGTAGTCGTTCTCGACGTTCCACAATTTGATGAAAAGGTCGTAAGAGGATGACACTGATGGTTTCGTTCAGCCCCGCGCACCCCAAAAACAAAACAGTGAAAAGGTCGCACCGAGGCTCTTCCCCTTCGAATCATATTCACAGTCGGTGACGCGCTTGGTGTGCCCTTTCAGCGTGCGCTCCTGCTCTCCGGTCTCCCAGTCCCACACCTTCATCGTGGCATCATCGCTGGCGGAGACGAGAACGGAGTACACGGGGTGAAACGCGACGGCGTTGACGGCATCGCGATGGCCGGTGAGCGTGTGTTTGCAAGAGCCCGCGGTGGGCAGCCAGTCGGGATTGTTTCGTCGGCTGAAACCTACGGGAAGCGCGGCCATGTGCGAGTTGTCATGTAGGGCTTCTTGCAAGCGCGATTCGAGGTCGAGGATCTGGATGTAGGCCGGAAGTTACGGAAGGACGGTCAGCGATCGGTGGTGATGGCGGGATGGAAAACGGAGAGAGGTGAAGGCGAGGATAGCGATATGTGGTTCGCAAGTAGAGTGTATGCGCATAAATCGACGACGGAAGGCGTCCTGGAGCTCTCCGATGAGGCGCGACCCGATGTCCGTACAATGCTTTGAACGAAAATAACGACGGGTCGCATCGCAGTCTGCTGCCACACACATCCCGTCTGCTCACTAGAGCAGACCAAGTGCAAGAAAAACAAGCATAAAACGCACCTTTTTCTGCATACGGATCACGCTCGTCCATTTCTTGACCAGCAAGCCGTTGCTCTTCTGCCCAAGGTCGGGTGAAAAGTCAGGCTACGGTTCCCCAACGAATACACGATCAGATCCAAGGCTGAAGGCCAACGAGGGGGGGGGGGGGAATACGCACTAAATTGGCTTCTTGCTTGAACTGGTCGAAGGTGTTCGCGAAGCCTGCGCTCTTGAGATAGTCGAGGATAGCTTTGTGTCTGCGATAGGACAAATGAGAAGGATCACCCGCCTGCGAGCGACGAGGAGCCTCACAGATCGTCTTGCTGGCGCTCAGATAACGCGACGGCCATGGCGTGGGGGAGTAAGTGGGAGAAATGGGTGGGAGAAGAGGTAAGGATCGTGGAGGATATACAGCAGTTGCCAACGAGCGAGCGTTGTTCAAGCTGCAAGAGCGCGTCGCGGCGGAGTGTGAATTCCTTCTTGCTCCCTCCGCTCACGAATTCCGCAACCCCACGTCCTGTCCATTTCTACCTATGCATTTCCACAATATGAACCGCCTCTGCTTACGTCTGTCTGGCATGTTTAAACTGACCCATCTTGACTCGTAGACACTGGGTTCCTTTTGCTCGACGGCACCTACTTCGATGCCACTAACTTGGACGACTGGCTCGAGCACGTCAAGAATGCAACCTAATGGCAACCACGATTCCACATGCATCTGCGTATGCTCCCCTATCTTATGAAAAAGCTACGCGCTTTTTTTCGGACTGGGCAGACATCGAACGAAATGTTTGACGACGGTGAGTTGAATGTGTCACTCCTTTGATATCTTCTACAAACATACCACGTTCAACGCCCCGTCGCAACCCCCCACCCCACCTCCACCCATATCATATGAACGACGTCTCTGCTCATCGCCCCTCACATTCATAGTGGTGGTGTGTTGTGTCCATCGGCCCCAGCCAACCAACGAGTACGTCAACATGCCCCCTCCGCCGAACCAATGCACCCGACCCCGCTGCTTTCGCGTAGACTTTTCCTCCACTTGGAGAATATCCGTGTGTCTCCTCCCTTTGCCCTGTGCCCCTTCCGTCTATCGAGGGTCCATGATGTCGAGAGAGCAGGGGGCAACCTCCACTGCCCGTTCCTTCCGTGCGGCTTCGCGTCGACTCACACACCCTCTCGCCAGCAGCGCACGTAGCAGTCAGCACCGATCAGGCGAGGGCGAGTGTATGCATTGGCACGGCGGTTTGTATGAGGTTTACTTCGGTGTGTTTGATGCCATGGGCTATATCGAAGGCTATCTGACATGTCCCTCTTAGCTCAGTTGGTAGAGCGCGTCATTAGTACTGCGTAACGGTGTCCTCGTAATCCATATGACGAGGCCACTTGTTCAAATCAGGTAGAGGGAAGTTCTTTTTGGAATGTTTCTTCTCGCGGACTTTCTCGCTCACGTGATCTGCATATACGCGTTGCTGCGAACGCGTCGATATTCCTCGACTCTCCTGCGTCCACCATGCCCAAAAACATCCATCGCACCACCCCTCCGATGGATCCAGGTGCCGTTAAACCAAAACGGAAGACTAGGAGCGATAAGGGCGTGACCAAAGCGAAAACATCGGTCACCGCGAAGCTGTACCCGCACCATACGCTTCCCTCCCTGTGCCTGTTCATCGTTAACGTTACCATCCTTGGCTTGTAGATCCAAGGAGACTGTCGAGGCCATCGCTCACGCGGCTGACCGTGCGCTCTTTTCGGTCGCCCAAGCCGAGATCCACGTTCTCGCAGCCAAGAAAGAGATACTCCGTCTGGAGCTCAAGTCAAAGAACTTGGACTGTGACCGGGCCCGTGCGGTGCGGAAGACGGCACAACTCAAATACGATACCCAGATCGCGCGGGTGAGGGAGCTGGAGTTGGTGCACTACGCTCAGGACAAGATGGTGGTGGACAGCGAGTGAGGATGAACGGACATGTGGATGTATGCGTTACAAAAAAGAGGTGGATGTATGCTATCGGTGTATCAAGACTCGCCGGAATGATTACTGTCCACGGAATCCTCATCGTCACCCTCAGCGAAACCTCCGAGAGAAGCCCACTCGGCGCGTCCGACGGGGTCGTCGTGTAGACGCTGACCGACGGGGAGTACCGCGAGGCGGGATTGCCACTGCCTGATGCTTTCTTGCGCTCCGGAACTGATGTCGACGCCAGTCTGGAAGGGGATCAGCGGCGACGAGTGATTTTGGGTGATCCACCGCACCTCTACCCCGCTTTCGACGATCAAGTCCATGGACATCTCGCTCATGAGCGTCACTTCGTCTTGTGCGGCCGTATCATTCGCGGGCGTCGCCTCGCCTGGTGCCGTTTGCTTACCCTTTCCCTTGACTGACGACCGGAGCTTGGAGGACGAGGCGACGTTTGGGGCCGTGTCGGTTTTGACGTGGGGTACGGACTGCCCGTGGTGATTGTCGGGGTTCTTGTTGTGTTTGACGAAGACGCGTTGGTAGGCGTGCTCGAGTTCGACGTACTTCTCGCAGTCTGCACAGTCATTGAGGAGGTGCTCCACGACCTCTTCCTGATTGGCAAAAATTCTGCACGGAATGAGCGAACGACTACGACGAGGAAGAGGCTACGTACTGGCCGTCGACGGGACACTCGAAACCGTTACTCAGGACCTCGTCCAGGATCTTCCGCCAAGGGGAATGCCTCATCCTACGGTCGGATGTGAATGAGGAGGTAACACGTGAGCGAGCGAAGACGAACATATGGCGCTCGAGAGCGCGCCAGTTTGAGACGGGGTTGAAGGCGCATTCGGTACAGACCCATTTGTTATTGCGCTGCGGGTAGGTGAGCGGGGATATGATTGATAGTTTGAGAAAAATTACCTTGTACATGCGTATGCGATCGCGTTCGAGCTGGCATGGTGCGACGAGAAACCTCCAGTGAGCGTGACGGAGTTCGTCCATGGGGAGGTGCATAAACTCGGCATCTGAGGCGTCGTCCACGCTGGGACGAAAGTTAATGACCTGCTTCCCAACGTATGGCTCCTCGGGTGTTTTGGGTTCAGTGTCCTCCTCGGTGATGACATTGTCCCGACGAATCTTGTCCGCGAGCTCCTTGCCGTCAGACGAGCGCCGAACGGCAGAGGTAGCGAGGAAGGATGCATGGATAGCCTTGGACACCTCGGCTTCCAACTCTTGAGGCGCCTCGACCTCATGCGCGGCGAGGTAGACGTCGGTCTCCTCTCTGAAGGTTGCCCACGCATCGTCGTCGGCTCCACGAGGAGGGGGAACGGGGGCCTGCACATCTGCGAGACGATGAGCGCACGAAGGGGGGAAAGGAGGGAGAGGATTTACCGGGCTGGTGTTCGGTGGGGAATTCAATGTCAGGTAAGACGTCCGTGACGGGCTCGACGAGCGCAGCGTCGGCAGCGACAGGCCGCTTGTCCGGGAGGGGCTCGACGAGCTCAGCGTCGGCAGGGACAGGCCGCTCGGCGTTGGAGGCGGCGACGGCGGAGGCGAGGAAGGGAACGGCGTTGTTCAAGCTGGCGATGACGGAGTCTTTGTCCTTGGTCGTAGCGGCCTTGCGTGCGAGGCTGTCCTCGTAGGCTTGGGTGACCTTGTTCTTGGTGGAAAGCTTGCGCCGCGAATCGCGCCTCTTCTTTTTCTGCAAGTCGTACAACGCGATGATCTTGATCCGGGCCTGGTGGACGGTTAGCCTCGTGAAAAGAAAGGAGGGGTCGACGTACCTGCCCTGCGCGGACGCGAACCCGCCGTTCTTCATCGACGAGGTCGTCGGGGTCAGGGTCCGAGACCAGGTCGCAACGATGAAGAGGGCCAACGTCATTGCCCAATTTGGCTTCACCTTCGAGGTCGTCCACGTCTAGGTCGTCCTCGAGCGCGGGGATGTTCTCCGCTTGCTCCGGGGTCACAAAGCGGATGTCTTCCCGTTTGAAGAACGTGGCGATGGACCCTTGCTTGAGGCCTTCGGGACCTTGGCCGTATCCGGTCAGCGAGACCAAGCCACGGCGGGGTTGGACCGAGTGGAAGAAGGAGAGCAGGTGCTGGCCCACGACGGCGATGCGGTTTTTGAGATTGACCATGATGTCGGTGTCCTGTGAATGGGTTAGCGTGAGGAGAGGGTGGAGGGAGAGGAGACCGACCTCGATTTCGTTCAGCTCCTGCTCGGACAGGGCAATGGTTCGTTTTGCGGGGGCCGCATCCTCCACGACGCCGTCTCGCTCCTGTTGATTTTTGATCATTTTGCGGCCGAGCATGGCCATGACGGCGGCAGAGGTACGCTCGTGCAGATTAAGAGCCTGGCCAAAAGATGAGAACGGGAGGAGGGAAACGGGAGAGGGCGCTCACCTTAGGCTCGTTGGGGTTGCCGAGGCGGATGTCGGAGACGTCGACGTTGGCGGTGTTCCGGGAGTAGTAGCGGCTAAGAGTTTTGAAATGTCCGTCGGAATGGCCGAGGATGGCTGCCGCCCAGTCGCGGCCCTTGACGATGGAGTACTGGTGGGGGATGAGCGAAGGGGGAGAGGGATAAGAAAAACGACCGACATAGTTGCCCGTCTCGCGACGGAGAGCGTACAGACCGGTCTTGGGAAGCCCGGCGTTGGCGGCGAGGGCGGAAATGGATTTGTAGAGGGTCTGCGTCAGGGCGGGCTCTTCGAGGAGGGCGGTACCGCCCTGGTTGACCGAGACGAAGCTGGCCGGGGGGTGAGCGATCGGTGGCAAGACGAAAGAAGGGGGACGGACAAGGCCTTGTCCATCATCTCGGGCACAACCTCGAGGGTCGCACGGCCGTCTTCCCAGAGGGTTTCGATGGTCTGAACGGGATGTGAGCAGGGGGGGAGGTCGGGGAGGTGGTGGACGTACGACATCCGGGCCGAACGCGCCGCGCTCGACCATGTACACCACGAGCCAGGTCGACGGCTCGAACGGGAGGTTGTGAGAAAACTGGGTGGGCGTGAACACGAAGTCCTGATCTTTTTGTTGAATACTGTCGGCGAAGCCCTGCGTGGCGCGTGAGCAGGAGGACGTGGGACAGATGTGTATCTTACCTTCCAGTTTGAAAAGTTGACGGTGACGTCGTACGCGAGCTTGCCGACGCGCTCGATGGTGATATCGCTAAATTTGAGGTACTGAACAGGGGCGTTAGCATGACGCGCGAGGGGGGAGGAGAAGTACCGGACTCTGCCTTCGTCCCGATATTCCTCACTAGACGCGGCGAGGGTTCCCGGACGAGCGCCGGTGAGGAAACCGAAGATGATGGCGGCGCAGGTTTGAAGTTTGACGAGCCTTCCGGACTCTTCGGTGGAGGCGAGGGCTTGTTCGAGGAGGAGCTGGACCTCCCAGCGACCGAAGTAGTGGACGAGCTCACGATGACGGGAGAGGTGGTGTACCTTGATGACTGGAAGAGAATGAGCAAGGGCGAGCGGGGAGGGGGGGGGGGCACACGCACTGTCTTTCACTTCATCCACGAGCTTTTTGTAAAACTCGAAGCGGGTGAGGAGGAGAACACCCGCGAGTTGGTCCGAGTCGTTGTCATGGCAGTACATGACTATGCAGTTGACGAAGCCGATCATCCAGTCGTTGAGCGTGGTCGCCTTGACGTTGTCGGAGAAACGGCCGGGGGTGCCCATAAACTGAGCGGGGAGGTGAGCGGGTGCGGGAAGAAGAGGGGGAGGATGAACGAACACGGGAACGGAGGTAGGCGCGGCCGTAGGTCTCGATGATGGCGCGCTTCCACGCGTCTTCTTTTTTAATCCCCTGCAGAAAAAGAAAGAGGTACCAAGCTTCGATACTGCTGAGATGATGCTTGAGGGTGAACTGGTTAATCGATTTCTTGCTGATGAGAGAGATTTTGAAGATCTCCTCGAAGACGTCGGCGGTGGAATCCTGGCCGGTGCGCTGCTTGAGGTTGGTGGTGAGGCGCGCGGCCTTTTTGCTGTTACCGAATTGGACGTCGGGGGCGCCCTTGAAGACGCGAGGGGAATGGAGGTCCTCCTGGGGGAGGAGGAAAGGCTTTTTTGCGGGCGCGGGTTCGTTGACGGCGGCGGGGCGGGGGGCTTTCGCAGGGGGAACCTGCAGGAAGGTGAGTAACAGGGAGGCGGAGGGAGGAGGGGACGTACGGGCTTGGACCTTTTGCGGTCGGATGGCCGGGCGTTCTTCACAGGTGCAGGCTCCTTGTCGGGGACCTCTTCGACGGTAGGAGGGAGGTCCTGAAGGAGGGTGAGTAGCAAGAGGACACAGGGAAGAGCGACGTACGGGCTCGTAATTATCTTCGTCAGATGGCCGGAGGTAGCTCGCGTTGGCATTCTTCACGGGAGCGGGCTCTTCGTCTGGGACCTCTTCGACGGAGGGGGAGCGACGGCGGGTTTGAGGAGGGGGATCCTGGACGAAGGTGAGTA